TAATCCGATTTTCCGCTGTTTTTTTAACCCAAAATTCCCATTTTTGAACCCAAAATTCCCATTTTTTCACCCAAATTTCCCCATTCCCGAGTTTCTCTCCCCCCCAAAAAAATCCCATTTCTTTCTTTCCCATTCCCAAATTTTTTCCGTTTCCGAAACCCCAAAATTAAACCCAAATTTCTACAAAAAAACTCGATTTTTTCCTCACAATTTCCCGCCAAAAATTCCCAATAAAACCCCAAAATTAAATCCAAAATTCCTCCCAAAATTCTCTTTTTTTTCCTCAAAAATTCCTATTTTCCCGCCAAAAATTCCCAAAAAATCCCATTTAGTCCCCAAAATTAAATCTCCAATTCCGCAAAAAATTCTAATTTTTTCCCCCAAAATTTCCAATTTTCCCCCCAATTTTTTCCTCCGAAAGTCCCCAAAAAAATCCCTTTTTCCCCTAAAAAATCCTATTTTTCTCCCCAAAATCCCCAATTTTATCCCTCAAAAATTTCCCATTTTCCCCCTAAAAATTCTTATTTTTTTACCTCAAATCCCCAATTTTTCCCCAAATTTTCCCTCCAAAAAAACCCCAAAAATTCCCATTTCCCCACTAAAAATTAATTTTTTAACCAAAATCTCAAATTCTTTCACCCAAAAAAATCACCAAAAATTCCCATTTTTTTAACCCAAATCCCCAATTTTTCCCGCCAAAAATTCCCAAAAAAATCTCATTTTCCCCACTTATTTTTTCCTCCAAATCCTCATTTTTCCCCGTTTTTCCCTCCAAAAATTCCACATTTTTTCCCCCAAAATTCCCGATTTTTCCCCTGAATTTTCACTCCAAAAAATCCCAAAAAACCCCAATTTTTCCCCTAAAAAAATCCTCATTTTTTTACCCAAAATCCCCAATTTTTCCCACCAAAAAATCCCATTTTTCCCCTAAAAAAATCCTCACTTTTTTCCCCCAAAATCCCCAATTTTTCCCCAAAAAAAATCCCTCAAAAATTTCCCATATTCCCCCTAAAAATTCTTATTTTTTTACCCCAAATCCCCAACTTTTCCCCCAATTTTTCCAGCCTAAAAAAACCCCATTTTTTCTCCTAAAAAAATCCTATTTTTTCCCTAAAAGACCCTTATTTTTTCCCCCAAAATCCCCATTTTTTCCCCCAATTTTCCCACCAAAAACTCCCAAAAAAAATCTCATTTTCCCATCTTTTTTTTTCCCCAAACCCCCCAATTTTTCCCCCTCAAAAAA